GGTCATTTGATGACAAAGGGGGAGAAATTTGAGTTAGTCTTCAAGCGGATCTATCTATATGGGCGTTTTTTTATGTTAAGTTGCAACTCTCGCTCTTCTGAAGTGTTTGTTGGATCGAGTTATAAACTTAAGTCCGATGGCGACCTAATACTTTTGCTCTGTTTTTCTGCATGCTACTTCCTCATATTTGTTATGCACGCATGCTGAATTACATCAGTCACCATATTTCATCATGCATTTCAAATTCTTCATTCATTATGTTAAATGCGTGTATGAATTACAAGATATAGGGAAAGATCTCCATGATATTACTCTACAATGTGCATCTGCTATCAAGAGAAAATTCCTCAAATATGCACATCTTCAGGGGGAGTTCTTCTATATATTGCAATCAAATTCCTCAATAATAAGCACTTTCAATTAATATGTTTATCCCCGCTGAAAACTTAACCTATTTGTCATCAATCACCAAAAGGGGGAGATTGTAAGTGCATCTAGTGCCACTTAGTGATTTTTGTGTATTGAAGACTTATAGGTTAAGGGACTAATATGTTTGTGAGTGTACACAGGCTCTATAAGTCGATGAGGAGTTTGATATTTACAGTGAAAGTCGACCCCTAAAAATGAATGTCTTCGGCTGAAGACTTTGGTTCTTCTGAAGACTTTGAAAGTGAAGAAATTGGTGTGACCTTGAAGGCTTGGATATTCATGCGAGGATTATGAAGCGTGAAGACTTTTGTTTTTGTAGTTTCATTTTCTCTTTCTTGAGTCATAGGAAACACCGTACTATTAAAGGGGGTCGAGGTAATACTAAGGAAACTGATTTCCAAGTGATGCTCATCTCAAAATCCTACACCTATCCAATCCTTTCGAGTGAAGCCATTGGAAATCTCATATCAGTCCAGTCAATTTCTTCGGTGACAGAGACGAAGATCTTCTGGTCTCTGAGGAATTTGTTCTGACTGAGGAGTTAGGAATTCACCAGTGCGGATTGCCTACACAGTGAGGAACATGATAGCCCTGAGGAATTCGAACCTCAAATCCGACCGTTGCTGTGCTACACGCCAGCTGTCCAAAATATCCTACCACCTAACGGTCATATAATTGAAGGGCATTTATGTCTTATCATGTTGGGCTGCTCCCTAGGTTATAAAAAGCCGCCTCCCTACAACCACTAGCTGGTTGGCTGCTCCGAGAGAAACTGACACTTGTCAATTGAGAGCATCCCATCCTCCGAGGACTTTGAGCGAAAATCATCAAGTGAGGAAAACCCAAATCCCAAACCCAAACACCTACAAACCCAAAGTGATTGAGCATCACTGAAGAGATTGTTCCTGTGTAGAACCGACGCTTGTTATCTTTGAGGACTGTGTATCCTCCAGACGATTAGGCGTCATGGTCTGAGCATCCAAGAGGAATTGTGGATCGCCGAGTGACCAAGTCTGTGAAGGTTTGGAAGTCACCTATGAAGACTTACCGTGAGTGTTGGGTGATGTCTGTGTGACCTTAGCTCAAGGAGAATACGTTGAGGACTGTGTGTCCGGGACTGTGTGTCCTCGAGTTTAAATACTCAGCCGCTCCAACCAGACGTACAACTGTCACAACAGTTGGAACTGGTCTACCAAATCATTGTCTTCATCAAGCCTACCGGTTGTATTTCCTCAACCCTTTCATTTCCTCATTCATGTGTTGATGAACCTGATCATTACTGTTTGAAGACTTTGACTGAAGACTTTCTCTATTTCCTCAATCCAATTTCTTCAGTCACACTATCTTCAGCCTGCTTATCCTGTGTTTACGCTACTTGTGCTCTGTGTTTGTTTTTCATATCATCATGATAACTATGTTGTTACTCGGTTATGCTTACACTTGAGTACTTATTCTGCTGCTAGTTGTTCGTGACTTAGGAATTTCCTCACCCTGAAATTCCTTAATGACGAATTTGTAAAAATCGCCTATTCACCCCCCCTAGTCGACTTAATGCACTTTCATCTATGCAGGATTTTTTCAAGATCTAATGACCAGAAATGGTTACCAGAGCCGAATCTGGCTCACTGCCGCTTAGAATATAAGAATACTGTCGAACAAAGCAAAATCAGTGAAGATTGTCTGGTTGAAATCATTTTAAATAACAAGCAGTGTGTCCGCCAAAAGAGATCTTGTTTGAACAAGCACTTGTGTTTACTTATAATGTCATGCCATCAAATATATGGTTGAAGCTATTGACACCCTTGAAATATGCTTTAAAAAATTAGTCCCAACCTTAAAAAGCTTATTAAACACCGTAAAACTGATTTTGGCTTCCAAGCTCCGGTGACCTTTTTATATCTCTAAAATATTTTAAATTCATGGGTATCAAAAGAAATCCACAAAATTGTCAATGTGTTATTTAGGGGTACACTATCATAGTGCCAATTTTCATAAAAATGCCAAACATACAAATTCGTGCCAATTGCGTCTGCTATGTGGGGATACACATCATAGACGTCTGGAAACTAGACACAGAGCTAGTAAACCATAATAGGATTAACACTTATGCTTCGGTACACGAGACAGAAACCTTTTCTTCGTAGATTCAAACTTTATCTTCTAGTTTCATTTTAGTTTTCAGGGAAAGGAAGCATAGAAGTCATGTGTCAGGAAGAATCACCCTCATTCTCGAAAATCCCCTTCCACTTGAGCTCGGGATGAACAGTAAATCCGAACAAAATGAAACAAAATATAAAAAATTCTTAATATTTTTGGTGCAAACTTAGACAAATGTTTTGAGTGCCTGCAAATTTTCATCATGAATTGAAATCCCTGGAAGTCACAGCAAAAATATCAAAATCAATACTCCAAAATTCTTTCGTAAATAGTATTTTTGGAGCATTGTTTTTTTGCCATGATTTCCACGAATGTTATTTCTTGATGAATTTTTGCAAACTAACAAAAAAAATTGTCAAAGTTTGGCACGGAAAATTTTCAGAGTTTTTAGAATTTATTTACCTTTTTTTTAATTTTATTTTACTGTTTATAAGAGAGCATTTGAGATCGGGACTGGATACTCCTCGTCCCGGCCATTCTCCCTTTCTCAGTGCAGAGCCAGAGCACGCCCATGTCTCGCATCCCCATCCGCCGCCGCCGCCGCCGCTCATCGTCCTCCACCTAGACAGTGTCCGGCCTCCACCACTCGTCCTCCTCCTCCACCTAGCCATTCTCCGACCTCTGCCTCCGCCACTTCTCCTCCCCTGTCCCCCACCTCGCCGATGCCCCGTCTCCGCCTCCGCCGCTTCTCCACCGCGCCGATGTTCCACCTCCTCCACCGCAGCTCCTCCTCCACCTCCACCTCGCCGCCCTCGCGTTCCTGGTCTCCCCATGCCGCCTTTGCCGCCGCCACAGAGCGTGTCCGTGCCGGGACGCTCAGCCCAGAAGACGCGCACCACCTGTTCGACGAATTGCTACGGCAGGCCACCCCGGTCACCGGGCGCTCCCTCAACGGCTTCCTTTCCGCCCTCGCCCGTGCGCCCGCCTCGGCCGCCTGCATTAGAGATGGCCCCGCCCTTGCCGTCGCTCTCTTCAACCGCGTATGCCGAGAAGAAGCCAGCCAGCAGGTGGCACCTTTGACAGTCCACACCTACGGCATCCTCATGGGCTGCTTCTGCGGTGCGCGTCGCCCGGACCTAGGGCTTGCCTTATTCGGCCGCTTCCTCAGGACGGGCCTGAAGACAAATGAGATCATCGCCACCACCTTCCTCAAGTGCCTCTGCTCCGCCAAACGTACAGATGAGGCTGTCAACTTGCTGCTTCATAGGATGCCTGAGCTTGGCTGCGTGCCTAATGCAATCTCCTACTCCATTGTTCTGAAGAGCTTATGTGAAAATAGCATGAGTCAGCGGGCACTCGACTTGCTACAGACTGTGGCGGAAGGAGGAGGTGCCTGCTCTCTCAATGTGGTGGCATATAGCACAGTCATCCATGGTTTTTTTAAAGAAGGCAAAACAGGCAAGGCATGCAATCTATTCCATGAAATGATACATCAAGGGGTTGATCCTGATGTGGTGACGTACAACTTGATCATTGATGCATTGTGCAAGGCCAGAGCGATGGACAAGGCAGAACTAGTCCTTCAGCAGATGGTCGATAAAGGTGTTCAACCCAACACAGTGACATATAATTGCATGATCCATGGATATTCCACATCAGGGCAGTTGAAAGAGGCTGCTAAAATGTTTAGAAAAATGACAAGCCATGGTCTTGTACCAAATGCAGTCACTTGCAACTTGTTAATGACTTCCCTTTGCAAGCATGGAAGAAGCAAAGAAGCGGCAGAAATATTTTATTCCATGACTGCCAAGGGCCACAAACTGGATGCCGTCTCGTACCGTATTTTGCTTCATGGGTATGCCACTGAGGGATGCTTTGCTGATATGATTGATCTCTTCAATTCAATGGAAAGCAATGGTTTTGTAGCCGATTGCCATGTTTTCACCATATTAATTGATGCATATGCTAAACGTGGAATGATGGATGAAGCTATGCTCATATTTACTGAAATGCGGGAAAAAGGAGTGAGTCCCAATGTAGTCACCTATTCCACTGTAATAGCCGCATTTTGCAGATTGCGTAGGCTGGCCAATGCTATGGACAAGTTCAATGAGATGACTGATATGGGTGTTCAGCCGGACACAACTGTTTATCACTCCCTAATTCAGGGTTTTTGTATGCATGGTGATTTGGTTAAAGTTAAGGAATTTGTGTCTGAAATGATGAACAAAGGTATTCCTCGTCCTGACATTGCGTTCTTCAATTCAGTAATAAACTCTTTATGCAAAGAAGGAAGGGTTATGAATGCACAAGGTATCTTTGACTTGGTTATAGGCATGGGCGAGAGGCCTAATGTCATTACATTCAGTTCACTGATTGACGGATATGGCTTAGTCGGCCAGATGGGTGAAGCACTCGGAGTGCTTGATGCCATGGTGTCAGCTGGCATTGAGCCTAATGTTGTTACGTATAGTTCAATTCTTGATGGCTATTGTAGAAATGGAAGGATCAATGATGCTTTGATTCTATTCAGAGAAATGCCGCGCAAGAGAATTAAACCTAACACTGTTACATATGGCATCATGCTGGATGGGTTGTTCCGTGCTGGGAGAACTGTTGCTGCAAGGGAAATGTTCCATGAGATGACCGAAAGGGGTATACCAGTGAGCATTTCCATATACAATATAATACTTGGTGGTCTTTGTAGAAATAATTGTGCAGACGAAGCGATCACACTATTCCAGAAATTAGGAGCAATGAATGTCAAGTTCGATATTATAACACTCAATACCATGATTAATGCAATGTTCAAGGTTCGGAGAAGAGAAGAAGCTAACGATTTGTTTGCTGCAGTATCAGCCAGTGGGTTGGTGCCTAATGCTTCTACTTACGGCATAGTGATAAAAAATATTCTAAAGGAAGGATCAGTGGAAGAAGTTGACAATATGTTTTCATCAATGGAGAAGAGTGGTTGTGCTCCCAGCTCTCGTCTTATAAATTATATCATCAGAATGTTGTTGGAAAAAGGTGAGATTGCCAGGGCCGGGAATTATTTATCTAAAGTTGATGGGAAGATCATCTCACTTGAAGCTTCAACTACTTCTTTGCTGTTGTCTCTCTTTTCAAGGGAAGGGAAATATCGGGAAAACATTGAATTGCTTCCTGCAAAGTATCAATTTTTCAATGGATTTGGTTGACTAGTTGATGCATTGTCTATGCGGCTAACTCAGCATTGTTGAACCTTTTGCTTTACACAAGGCCCTCCTGCCAGTATAAGATATCCAAGTTGCCTGCTTGCAGAAAGTAGATCCGTCACTATTTCATTTAGTTCATTCTGCGGTGTAGAATGGTCATCCGGTGCTCGACGTTTCGTTGCTGATTAAATCACACTGAGTGGGACGAAGCACTGCTCCCAGCATCGCATCGGTTCGCTGTGTTTACGCCTCCCCACTTCAGGAACTCACATATATACAGCGAGGAGTGTGCCTCCACCATACCCGTTGGTCTCCCTCTTCCTGTTCCTCAAATCTCAGCTTCTTTTTACCTAGTGTAATCTGAAAATAGCAGAAGGTGGCTGTGCCCTTCTCATGCTCTTGCTTAATCATGGATGGACAGCGCCGCTTAGACGTAAACTGTGTTTTTAATGAATTGAGGTGGATTAGAAAGCGCAGGTGAATTTACTAGAACTGGAAATATGGAACTCTAGAAGTAGCAGTAGGTGGTTGTCCCGGTAACTGGAAAAGGCTTCATTCTGTATGTTGCTGAAACTTTGGTTACATCAAAATGATGAGGTAGATGACAGTGGGGCGTTGAGGTAGATGACACGCCTGTGACACGGCGTGGCCTCTGCGTAGCATGTCATTCCGACTGGGCTGATCGATCGTGTCAAAGCATCCCGTGGTTAGGCTTTTGAGAGTTTGACTCGTGGTGACAACGAAACATGCATGCTGCTAGTGCAAGCTTTTTCCCAAACAAGATGAAAATCTCCAACTCCTAGTACATGCATGCTAGTACAAGCTTCAAACGATGACAGAGGACTGATCATTCATGTGTCCAGCAACTTTGTCCTCCTCACAGGGAGACAACAGATGAACGCTAGCTCCAGATAACACCCAAGAAAGGAGTCAACTGAACCCTATAAGCAGACCGAGCACCTTCAGGCCTTGTTCGGTTAGGCAGGGTTTGAAGAGGTTTGAAAGGGATTGGAGGGGATTAAATCCCTTGCAAGTCAAAATCCTTGTCAAACCTCTCCAATCCCCTCCAATCCCTGTGGCGAGGGGATTAAACGAACAGGGCCTCAGAGAGTTTCGGAAAATGTTATTAATGCTCAACGTTTCAAATGCAGGAGCTTATATTGCTATGTACAGTATATAAAACCATTAACACACTGATATATTCCTGTTTATTAAGTCCAATAGTGTACAGTATTATACTATAGCTTGAAAATTGGGCTCTAACCACAGCAGACACAGTAATTAATGTACAGTACATAGGCAGGCAGTTTTGGAGCAAACATGCTTCGCCGCTCCTCTCTACAAAACATTTGGAGGCTGCCATGGCTAATTCACGGCACAAGAAGAACTCGGCAGTAAGTGGAGTGTAAAAAAAAAATACTGTACTGGGATTAGAATGTAGAGACATTCTGTTGAGGGGGTGGTATAAGCAGATATACAGACTGACAACTGTCTCCTGGTCCTCAGCTTTGGGTCTTCTCTACCTTGGCCTTGATCTTCTGCTCGAGGACCGCCTTCTCCGTGTCGAGGTTGAACATCCTGTTGAGGGCGTGCATGTTCTCGAGCGTCTCGTCCAGGGTGCGGCTGTCGCTGCCGTCGCACCTCAGGTGCTGCAACGGGCCGTGGAGGAGCTTGTTCACGATGCCTGTGCTCAGCTCCTCGATGGACCTCCTCATCTTCTTGTTCAGGTTGTCTTCCCCGATCTTCTGCAGGCACTTCTCGAGCTCCGACGCCCTGATCCTGTCGGCGTACGACCTCAGCTTCTTGATGGTCGGGACCGTCTCCAGCGAGTCCCTCCAGGCCTCGAACCGTTTCAGTTCTTGGGTGATGATTGCTTGGGCCTCCATTGCTTTCCTCACACGGTCCTGCTTGTTGGCTTCCACCACCTCTTTCAAGTCGTCGACGTTGTATACCCGTGCGTGCTCCACTTCAGATAGACAGGCACCGACATTCCTTGGCACGGATATGTCGACGAAAAGCCGGACGCCACCCATGGCAAGAGAGATAGGAGGAAGCGCCTCCGCATGCTCCTTCGTGAATAACAAGGATTCAGATGCTGTGCTTGTGAACACGACATTGGCGTCAGCAGCGGCTTCATACATCTCCGTGAGAGGCCTGTACACAATCTCGATATCTTTCATCTCTTCGCGAATGGCATCCACCCTTTCCACCGAACGGTTCACCACAACAACCTTCTTGCATCCTTTGGCGATCAGATGTTTGACCACCAATTTTCCCATCTTGCCAGCACCGATCAAAAGCATCCTGGCTGACAAGCATTCAGACTTTGGAAGCTTCATCATGGCCAATTCAACCGCAGCTGAGCTGACGGACACAGCACCAGCTGATATGTTGGTCTCACAGCGGACGCGCTTTCCAGCTGTGATTGCATCCTTGAACATCCTGTCAATGTTCTTTCCCAGGCCCCCACTGTTTTGCCCGTTTCTAACAACTTGTTTAACTTGAGCAAGGATTTGTCCTTCTCCAAGAACCAAAGAGTCAAGCCCAGAGGATACCTCAAACAGATGGCGTGTGGCGTCACTGTCACGCAACATGAAGAGATGCTCCCTTAGCTCGGAAGCAGGGATTCCACTTTTCTGCAAAAAAAAAAAAAACAGCATGATGAGCATTAGAGCTTCATTGATAATACTGCGCTCTTGAGCAACCAAAAAGGGCTAAGCAGGGCAAACAAGCATTTGATCAAATAACTCTCACCTTTGACATCCAGTCTACTACTTCTCTAATACCACGGTTCCACGATAAAGCCACCACATATATCTCCATTCTGTTGCAGGTACTAAGAACAGCAGCCTCTTCAATATGATTCAGGCTGGTGAGTTCTGAAATAGCACGGGGCCATAGCTCCTCTGCAACAGCAAGTTTTTCACGCATGTCCACTGGTGCTGTGTGCACACTGAGGCCTATTACAGCGATGCTACTCTTTTCCTTCATGTACCCTGGTAGTGAAAAAAAAACATTGTCACATGCTGCAAATAGACATACTTTTTTAAAATGAAAGAATGGAACTAACTAAGTTTGACTGCAAATTGTCATAACGTTTTTTTTAGCAAGGATGCCAGAGCTCTGCCCATTCATTAAAGTAGGAAAAGAAGTTTGTTACACGGCTTTCCACAGCAAGCAAGCACAAAGAAGGAAAAGAGGAAAGAAGTTTGTTAGCAAAAATGGCCATAACAATTTTCCCTTTTTAAGCACGGATGTAAGAGCTCTGCTCATTCATGAAACGAGGAGAGGAAGTTCGTTAGCACAAACCGCCGCATGGAAGTTTATGCCACAGCAAGCAAAAATAAGCAGAAAAGTCGAATCACTTGAGTAGGAAGAAAAAGTAGTGCTTAAATATCCTCCTAAGCCAAAACAAACAAGCAACTTTCTACAGGCGATCAGACTAGTGTACAAGCAAAGCCAAGCAACACAGGGCAAAGTCCTCATGAGCAAGGGTCACCACGTCAACTAGATGGAGCTGATCTTGATTAAAGATGAGTCGGTTCCGCTCCTTCAACAGCTACTTTCACTACATATTGATTTCTTGATATGTTGTAATTATAAGGGGTGTATTGTGTTCTTACACTAGTGGAGTCGCACACGTATACATTCTGAATCAAGTAACTGCATACTTCGAATCTTGAAGTTTTAGCAGCGGGAGACTCAGAACAAAACAAGGAGAACCTGAACCCACTTTTTCCCTGTAATAATTGGTCAATATCTGATACCTGAAGCATGCAACAACTAGTGTCCATTCTTACCTTGTTATCTTGTGTGATCTTAGTATATAATTGGCAATTTCAGTCAGGTAGGCTCCTTTATTTAGGCTGCAACGGTAATTAACACATTTTTGTTAAGCTCCTATATCAACCATGCTGTAGTGCTAATGGTCTGCCAATCTGTGAACAAGATCAGTTGCCACTAGAAGTTGGGAACCTTTCGACACTCAGTGCAGAAAGAGAAAACTAATCGACAAGATATCACACAATCTCCAAGTCCAATTGTCTTTGGTTCTGTATAAACCTGAACAGATAGGCTGTGAACACAAGTAGTAATTAGTAATGATAGATGAATAACCTGCAAGAATGCTGCATGTGCTCAGTGCTCACAACAATCAAAGCAAAACTGGGGGTGAACAATGCAGTTTTTCTTTTTTCTCTTCTCCAACTCTCCAAGTAGTGCATCAAGGGCGGCAAATTGGAGGAGGGGGAAGGGACTCACGGTCTGCGGAGATCTTGAACTGCTCGAGCGCGGTGATGCTGGCCGCCTTGGACGCCGCCTGGGCATCCCCGCCGGCGTCGCAGCGCACGACGACGCCGGACCGCCTCCAGCCGCCGGCGGCGGCGACGGCCCAGGGGCACGCCGCCTTGGCGCTGGCAGCGGCGGCGGCGGCGAATGCACCCGCGGCGGCCGTGGCTGACGTCGCTCCCGCCATCATCAGACCCACAAGAAAATGCAGCAGCGGCCTCCCTCCCTTCTCAGCCCGGCCCACCGAACCGTAGGTAGGTAGATTGATGCAGATAGATAGATAAAACCGGAGAGAGATCCTTATACGGCTGCT